CCAACTATTGATTGGAATTATTAATAAATGAAATAGGTTCGTAATTGATGTTATTTGATATAACTGTAGCTACTCCACCGTATCCGTTAGCTCTGTTTTTACTTACTATATTAAAATTACTAAAACAAACATTATCTGAGAGTTTGGACCAAGTTTGAGATAAAACTGCTATATCAAAATATTCTTCAAGAAGTAAACTGGTGTAAAGAATATTTGTTAGCGTTAAATGTTCAAATATTCCACTGAATAATTTTAATACCTTTGATAGCCATGAATTTTAAGTAAAAATGTTATTAACAACCTCTTTAACTTTGTTCTTAAATTCAATGTCATTGACTTTAAGATTAGAAGACGTATTTGGAGAAGAATTAACAAAGTCTTGAAAGCTGTGTTTAATAAAATTTTTAAGAGAAACACTAAGCTAAGAGATAAATTTACTAAATTCATCTACAGGTTCAGGTTGTCCAAAATGGAATACGGGACCAGCACAGAAACTAGTCTAGAACTCTTTACTTTACGAATAGGAGGGAAATTAATAGTAGTGTCGCTATTTTTTTTTGGGGGGGGGGGGGGGCTAACTACCGGAGTTGTATGACGTTTGGAAATATTGTTATTTTTGTGAACTGTACCAGAATTGAACTGACGAGTAGAATTAAATTTTAGTGGGGAAATTTTGTCTCAGAGTTGATTAACGGTGCAAATCTATTCTTCTGAACTAGGATGACCATAACGCAAACACTCGTAACATTGCATGACCGGACTGACAAATACCTCGACTGGGCATCTAACTTTATTGATGTAGATAAATTTAGGAATTAATTTGCCCGCAAAAGTAACAATAATCATCTTTAGACTCTCTCCGATATACCGTCTGTTTGTATTAATCTAGCCTTTCTTTGGATTTTTTAACCATTACATTTGATTTTATAGTATTTAGAAGTTTATTCTTTTATAGTAGTGTCAACAGCGCGAACTAAACCTCTTTTTTCTGTCAAATAATTAGGTATAAATGCAATTAAATTATTTTTTTCAAAAAAAGATTCTTCTACCAGTCTATTTGCAACCAGTCCCGAATCTACTTCTAATTCTATTCCTGCCAACATTAACAATTTCAGTTATATTTTTATCGTAATCCGCGAGAAAACTTAATTAAAGAGGATTTATCCCCACTTTTATTCTTAATTTATCCACAATTACAGGTGAGAATTGAAATTGTAATTGTAATTTATGAAAAAATAAACCTTACTCAATTGTTAAAATATTGATATCAACTAAACAAAATTTAAATATTGTAAACTGTCGATTATATTCACTTTTAGAACAAAATGAAGTTAGTCCTAACTATAGTATACTTAACTGGTTCATTTCATTTATAAGTCTTTACAGGTTATGGTGGTCCAGACCAGTTTTTCCGTTGGTAAGTAGATAAACTTTGTATACTAGTGAGTGTTAAGATTCAAAATGGCAGTGAATTAGATGTCTGCTGTGCCAAAATTATTAGACCGAGAAAATTACGATGATTGGGCTTTTGTAGAACAAAATTAGTAGACAGGGTCACGAATAGAGAGAGGGTAGATAGAGTCACGAATACAGAAGTGTTAAGGAGAATAGGCACATAGAGGGAAATGGAAAATATAATAAAAGAAAGTAAATTGCAATATCTCGGACTTGTGATGAGAGACGAAAGATACAACATCTTGAGACTAATAATTCAAGGAAAAATAGAGTGTGGGAGAATCATAGGAAGAAGACGCGGTTTCCTGGTTGAAGAACTTGACGTAGTGATTTAGTTGCAGCTCAAGGCAATTGTTCAGAGCAGCTGCCTCGAAGGTCAGAATAGCCATGATGATTGCCAAGCTTCGTCGCGGAGATGGCGTTTAAAGAAGAAGAATCAAGTCTTTCCTCAAGAGACATAAACATTTTCAGGTCAATTGCTAATTAATCGCCCAATTTTTCGGAATAATCCTCACATGATATTGAAGCTATAAGCCTTCCGTTGTTATCTCGTTTTGTAGTATTTTTAAAACGTTTTTCACAAAATATAATTTCATCAGAATTTGTGGATGGAGGCGATAATTTTTTCACTTTCCAGAATATCATTAATAAATCTTAGATATTTTCTAAATCTGTATTGTAAATTGGAGGTAATGGAAATTGTTTTTAAGCTAATAGGTCCCGTTACAACCTATCTCAATTGTCTTTTGTAAAATTGGATTATTTTTGCCTAAAGCTATTTGACCAACTGAAAGTATACTTCAAAACAAATCAGAACCGATTAATAACCAAATTTTGCTTGCTTTATAACATGTTGGATCAGCTAAATTTAAGTGTTCTGAAATTTAAAGTTTTGATATGGCAATGTTTACTGAAGGTAAACTTCTACTTATTACGTCTACTGCGAAAAAACATGTATTGCATGTTTAGTCAGTATGAAGAGAGTCTAAAGTTGTAGTACATTTAGAATTTATGTTTGATGATACATTATTAAAACCTTTAACAGAAATATTGACTTTTTTCTTTAAAGTTTCAATTTATCACAAAGGGATCTTGCGATAAAGCTAAATTGCGCCCTCTGTCTAATAATGCTCTTGCAATATGCATATTATCATCCGAATCCGCAACAAGAACATATGAAGAGTTAGGGGGAAAACGGTTTTAATCCAAAAATTCAGTTTTTGGCGCTATTATTATAGTTCAGTGCCGTTTCTTCAACCACGAAAAACACTACTAACAAAAATGCTCCCAGTTCGATGTAATAGAGGAAGAAAGATACGGCATAAGTGGGAAGAATAATTCAAGTCATAGCGCGCAGATGAAAGAACGATCAGGGTCCTAAGAATATGGTGGTGGACGCAGCACAGTCAGTCAGGTAGCAATAATTATTAGTGGGGTCTCTTGAGACACGTTCGGTATTTTGAAGAGTTGTTTCAGTTTTAAAAAGTATTATTAAGTCAAGTTTATTGTTGTGTTATAATGGATAATACGTTTGAAAGTGATCAAAGTTCTAATGGAGGTGGTCAAGTTGTCGTTGCAAAAACAACAAAGAAGAGAAAAGTTATGGCTGTGTAAAAGATGCCATGGAAAAATTAGGCTCAATAGTCATACTACAGGTAAAGACTGCAGGTGCCACAGATTAAAATGCTTTGAATATAGAATAAGACAGTTTAATGAACTGAATTCGTATGATAAACAAAGTAGCTACTTAGGAGGTCTTGTTACGGCTGTACCCGTGCAAAGGAGTATAAGCAGAAAACCACACGAGGAGGCAAAGATTAACCAGACTTCATTTATGTACAGTTTTCGTGACGTACCTGTTTGTATTAAAGCTTTTACTCCTATTCTTTTTACTTCTCAAAGAATTCAAACAATCAGACAATCAGAGAATCTTTGGCTTCTAATGGCACTGTAGAACCAGATGGAAGGGTAACCATATTAACAGGCCCCACCCATTAAGTGATGAAACTAAACTTTGTGTCAATTCATTTCTTCAATCAATAGAGGGTAGAAAGTTACGTTATTCTCTAAAAGATACTGATATAATTTATTTACCTGAAGATCTTAATATTTTAAAATTGTGGTCAATGTATAAAAGTTTGAATTCCAATAGCAAAATCTTCTATGGTAAGTTTAGAAGTATTTTTAATCAAGATTATAATTTCTCATTTGGCTACCCACGGAAAGATACACGTAGTACATGTGACTATAACAAGTCCAAAAAAGCTTTCTTCGAACAATCTATTGCTACTATAACTATGGCAAGAAAAGTTAACCTTGAAAAAGACTTGAACAAGTTGTTAAGTGAGAAAAATCTCCTTTTACTTAAGAGTGCTGCATTTTATGACTTAAAGACGTAATACAAAAGAAAAGCCAGAAAAACTCATGACATGGAAGTCATTGCTATGGATTTGCAAAAAAACTTACACACTCCCAACATCACTACAAATTCAACACTCATTCAACATTCATTTTCTTGATGATCAAACATCTGTGTTTTATACATACGATAAAAGTGTTGCTAAAAAGGGAACTGATGAAGTGTGCTCGATGATTGACCATTTTGTAACTTCCATTCTGTCTACGACTGTTCGTAATCTTGCAATATTTTGCGATAGTTGTGCTAGTTAAAGCAAAAACTATACAGTGATACGTTATCTGCATTATTAAGTGACAAAGCAAAAACGATTTGACAATGTTGAAGTAATGTTTTCTATTAAAGGTCACGGCTACTTAGAGTGTGACCTTGACATGGTTCTCATTAATCAAAAATCCTATGTCTATAGGGTATATATTTCTCATGGGTGCAAATAAATTAGTGAAATGAATAAAACTCATTTATTTTTCTATGTAGGTTTCCAAATAATATTGACGATCGAACTATTTTGGTAGCAAATTTAGGAGAAAACATAAAGATTTTTTATTGTAGCATTATTTTGATACCTATTAAAAATTAACTTGAATTCAACTATATTTTATTGTATTAATTTTAAAGCAAATAAAATTGTATTTTAATTTTTCTATAAAGAAATGATTTGTTAATAGTTAAACTCTCGTTTTTTTTTTAAATTCTTTGAACGTATTTTTATACATTATTGCTACTTCCAATTTTTAAAATCTGAAAAATTACCTGCGAGTAAAAATTCAAGCACACTTATGCTCATTGCGGAAGCATCACATTCTATCGAAGCTTCAAAACATTGTGTGTTAAAAGTATCTTATTGGTGTGTCCATCTATGTTTATACGTCCATGGATCAATGACAGATCAAAGTACAGATAAGAACTTAAAAAAAAAATTATAAAGTCAACCAGTTATGCAATCGTTAAAAAATATTTTTTTCCAAATGTTTTATTGTATTAATTGATAACAAGTACCATTCTAATTATTAGCCTCATTATTATGCCTCAATAATGACATGCTACCCGGTACAAAAATTGCTTATCTTAAGTACCTATAATTTATCAGACTGCGATAAACAATTTCAAAATTTATTGAATACTATCTAGTACAATGTGTTATTTCATATTAAGAATTTTACAGAAATATTAAGTTCTAAATAATTTTTGAAAAATGAAAAAGAAATATGTCCTACTCGTTCCAATTTTAATTTTATGTCTACAAACTTGTCACGCTGCGAAAATATTAGGCATTTTTATTCTTTCCGCAAAAAGTCACTACAGTTTGGGAAACTCATTGCTAAGAGGACTTGCAGATGCTGGCCATGATGTTACGATGATAAGTCCTTACGAGGATACAGTACCCACCAAGAACGGCAGTTACAGAAGCGTTGTTTTGACAGGTTTCGCCGAGCGGTATGAAGGTAAGTTACATATGAATGCTTTTTTTTTAACAAAAACTATATTTTCAGTTTTCATTCGGTCAGTTATTTACTTTTATTAAATTTTTGTATCCTTCTTCATATGTGTTCTGTAAGGTTGAGAATTTGGCTGCTGCATGATTTGGATAGTTTAAGTTTAGCTTGATTAGAGCTTAACTACTGCGGTAAAATACCTGAGAAATTGCTTAGGTTGAAAGGAACTCGCCAACGTTGGGGGACCTAATAGGGCACAAAAAAAAAGAAGAATCTTAGCTTTTTACCATATGAGATTCTGGTCGACTATGTTGTCTATAAAATGTAGGATAAGTTTTTCTTATGCCTTATAAGATTGTGTAGAAAAGAGATTAGTGAATATTTTTTGGTTTCGTCTAGATACCTGGCTTTAAAAGCGCCGTTACTTTAGCTTTTCTTCAGAATATGGGGATCATGCAACTATCTTGGCAATTGTTAAAAGATCCAAGGTTAAGTTTTTCGTAATTGATTTCAAGCTTTAAAATTCTTACATAAATATATTATCCACTTCCGTTGTTTTGCCATTCTTCGTGAAGTTTATTATTTGGTTTAGTTTTTTAATTGTGAAAAATGACTAGGTTAATTTTTTTTAAACTTAAGAGTTTTCTATCGTTGTTAATTATTGAGGTTTTGAGCTGGGCCTTTCATTTAGTAGATAAATAAGTAGGTAAAATACTTGTTTACCTGTTACGTTATAGGATTGCCTGTTCTCCATGGGTTCGCACATGAGCTTCTTGATGGCATTCCACTCATGTTATTATAATGTATTATTTCTACTCTGTGCAAGGTGTTCATTTACTTTGTTTGCCTCGCTTCGCTAAGTTTTTATATCAACGCTTATATAGAGAACATTATTTATTCATTGAACCAGTTTTCCTTATATATTTTTTATATTTGGCCAGAATGGTTTTTTTTGTGGCATAGACTTTCCTCATTCAGCCAGTCTCGAAAGGTTATAATATATTCCTTAAGAAAGTATATACACATAAGTACAGATTATTTCTCTCAGACAAATGCACATCGATATCCCTAAAACGAAAAAACGAAATAGACGAATAATTAATGGAAGAATACGTCGAAGGAAAATACAAGGACACTCGCTTCTCGTCTAGGGGTCCGTCAAGACATTTATTTTAATAGACAAAAAATACTGGATCACGGATAAGGTATTATTACATATAGGATAAACAAAGGTTACAAGTCTAACCCTATACACGCTCATGAAAGTATTCATGAACGAGTACCAGATTTATCAAGCTATGCATGTGTCTGACAAAAATTCCTTAATTAAATTATATATTGTTACAGAGCCTATTGCTAACAAGGACTGTATATTATATGGGGCCTATATATTGCATTTAGTTAATTTTGTATACAGGGAGTTTGAATGCTAAATAAATTTAGGACATTCAAAGAAGTTGTGATCGAGGTCACCTAACTTACCGCAATGTTTGCAACTGTCATCATCGATGACTTTTATTTTAAATAAATGGCATGGGTAGCATGCATGTCCAAAGCGTAGTCGATTTATAGTAGTAGGGTAAAGTGTGCAAATCGCGGTCACCTAAGAAGAAAATTTAATATATAAAAAAGTAAAACTCTGTGAATCAAATTTAAGCCGTCAATCCGTAATTTGGGGTTTTAACTTATTGCAAGATACATTTAATTTCAAAAATATAAAATTTTTGTCTTTGACAGAGACAAAACATAAAAAAAGTATCTTTGACCGGTATTGTCACCATACATGGACAATACCGGTCATGAGTGTTGGTAATGCCAGCCAATTTGTTTGTGTTATTATTAAAATAAAAATCAATATCTATTTAACATTTTTTTGTTATAAAACGATTAACGAATGTGGCTTAATGGGTCATAATTCAAGTAAATCAGTAAGAAAGGTGAAAAAATATTTTTTATTACAAAACAAACAAAAAATAACAAACATATGTGTTTTAACGTAAAAATAATTGACAGTCATCGCAGGTATAACTCTCTGCAGAATCCCATCCACTGCACTCTGAATAAGCCCATCGTGAGCAAACGGTAAATATTATATACCACAATTCATTGTTTTTGCCAAACTCGCTGTAAACCAGGCATCTATGTATCTATCTTCGTATGCATCGTCACTGTTATCACATGATATATCAATATCCGATTCCAAAGAACTAGAATCAAACACCTTTTTCTTGTAATGCCAATTACAAGAAAAATGTGTTTTATTACAAGAAAAATTGTCTTGTAAACCCAAATGCTAATTTTCTCAGTTCTATTGCTGTTACGCCATAAAAAATTAATCTAAATATTTTTTTTGTGTGGCTATTTTAGCTTCTTGTTCGGCAGAAAATACTGATTTTCTACTTAATGAGACACCTTGAAGATTTTTATTTTTTATTCTTTCTTGCAATGTCGAAAAAATGGATGGATTAATCCCTAAGGATTAATAGTATAGGGTATAAATTATAGCATGGGGGTAATACCGGTCAACTGACCGGCATTGCCTCCTGTTGGCATTTTTTTTCTTAGAATTTTTTACTCGTAAACATGTATTAAAATATTGATCTTTAAAAAAGGAATAGGCAGCTAACGTCATTATAATCAATTGTAATCAATTTTAAGATCTACAAGTGAATAAAAATGAATTAAGACCTTATATTACTCAGCATAAAAATAAGATCGAAAACACTGAAAACAGGTTAATAATATTTCTATGACAATGGTTTGCACCAACTCAACGCTCGTCATCAATCTGAATACAGAGTAGTGTAGCGACACGTTGGCAGTTATAGGAGGTTGCCAGATTGAATAGATTTCGCACAATCGGGATGACCGCCATTACCCACTGACCGGTATTTGCACAGTTTACCCTAATATATTTAAGAGGAGCTTTGAAATTCTGAAACCAGTTTGTTTGAGGTATAATTGGTTGTAAAGAGGTATACCTTTTATGATTTGTAGAAAACTAATGTTCTTTGCATCTAAATTGCTGATTTTTTTTTTGAAAATAGTCGTAACATCTGATGTATTGAGCATATATATCAACGTAGAGCCAGTTGTTAAACTCATTTTAGCTAAATGATCTACATATTCATTATGTTTGAGACCAATATGTACTTTGAGACCCAAATAAATTTTATGATGACTCCAGTCGATGATAAATTATACAATCGATCTTTTATTTCAAATATGTAGGGATTCTAAATGTCAAGGGGAATTCAATGTTTTTTAAGTTCTGCAAAACTGAAAGGCAATCTGACAAAATTAAAATATGTCTATTGCAGGTATTTTTAACATATTTTAGAGCTTCAACTATAGACATATGCAATTGAATATTGAATAGAAGATTGAAAATTCATTGGGTAGTTTATACTTGAATTCTACGTTTGTAGCAGGTATGGTTTTTGACTACTCGAAAATGTTGTTTTCAACCTCTGTCTGCTATGTTACTTTGATCTTCTCTTGGCTGTCTGCATAAATATATTCTAGTCCTCTGGACTAGAGTTGACCTTTTTGACGGCCATTTTTATGTCATCTACGACATTTTTACATTGGGCCTTAGTGAAGTTAGTTCTTTCACAACAATGAATTTTTGTAATCTTTATTGATTGATACACCTCTATTATTGCAGGTTTAAGCTGGGTCTTTGGGTCATAGACTTTCTGATTTCTGGATTTTGGAGGTTACAAAGTTGTCTGAATCTTACCTTTGCCTCTAGATATTGCTGATAAAGGACCAGAGTTATGTTCTGCTATCTTTCAATAGCACTATAAGATCCAATCTTATACAAATTCTGCTGGCGTGCTTGGTATGAGGTCCCTATGCCATTCAATTTATCTTCTTCTTCGCGTGCCATATCAGAATTATCCGACGTTGGCGATCACCATTGCGAAGGCTTCTCGATCTTCTGCAATATGGAATAATTGTCCTGCATTTGGTATCTGAGTCCATTCACGAATGTTATTTAACCAAGAAACTTGTTTTCTTCCTAAACCTCTACGGCCCTCTATTTTGCCTTTAAGGATCAGTTGTAAAATTTTATATCGACTTCCCCTTACTATATATCCCAATTAAGACATTTTTCGATGTTTAACAGTCTTTAGCAGTTCTATGTTTTTGTTGACGCTCCCTAGTACTCAATTATATGCTTAGCATTCAATTTATATTTGATCTAAAAGCACATTCGTCCCTATGGGTTTTCTGGGAACTCAAACTGTTTCAATTTTTCGTAAGTTTCTCAACATTTAGGATAACAAATGTCGGTATTGTATTTTAGAAGAGACCTTTAGGTTTGGTCGTTGGTTACATTTTGATCGCGTTGAGTTTTGAGTATTCCGATGATAGAAAACGTATATGAAAATGGACGATGTCATTTCTTTTTAAATCGAGCTCCACTATCCATTTACCTTTTTTTAACCTCATCTTAATGGCGTTAGCTATGAATTATTTTTTTTGTCCATATTTATGCTTCTATATTTTATTACTATTTTTAGATAAATATTATATTTTAACTATTCAATTACATTTAAGTTATTCGTGTGAATGTTCATACATTACATACATTACATTACATATTGTTGTATACACTATTCTAAATATCCATAAAATATTAATATTAGATTATTTTGTCTTAGATTTTATTACGATTATTATGATTGTTAATTAAAGCAAATTGCGATTGATCGATTTCATTTACACTGAAATCTGTAAATCCAATATCCAAGTTTTATGAGTGCCATAAGTTGATTATGTTTATAATTTTTAAATGAAGTTACCCACTACATAATAATTTTTTTTAAATATTCGTTTTTTTTTAGCTGCAATGAAGCACTTAAATCCTTTTGAAAAACCATACACTAACGACTTCACATACTTCTTAAAATTCCAAAAGGTAGTATACCCAGCTTTGGAAAGAACGTTGTCGCATTCGAACGTTCAAAAACTAATCAATTCTGACGAAACCTTTGACGTGGTGATTGTAGAACAGTTTGCAACTGAAGCATTTAAGGCACTAGCGCACCATTTTAAGGCACATTTAGTTCTGTTTTCATCCATAGCAGCGGATAGTAAATTGAATTACGCTGTGGGAAATCCAACTATGGTCTCGTACGTACCGCAAGTTGATACAGATTTTTCAAGGGAAATGACCTTTCCTCAAAGGTTGTATAATACATTGCTTTATATTTTTGAAGCTATAGTCACCCACTACCACTGGCTTCCTGTACAACAAGAAGGGTTGGTAAAGAAATATTTTCCAAATTCACCATCTATATTTGAACTCAACTATAACGTTTCTTTAATTTTGGTTAATTCTCATGAAAGTCTACAACCATCGATTCCTTTAGTACCAAACATTATTCCCATTGGAGGATTCCATGTTAAGAAACCCAAAGCATTACCAAAAGATCTCCAGCAGTATTTAGATGATGCAAAAGAGGGAGTAATATTTGTTAGTTTCGGGTCTTCAGTGAAGGCTGTCAATTTACCAAAAGACAAAAAGGAAGTTTTAATAAGCAGTTTTGGCAAATTAAAACAAAAAGTTTTGTGGAAATGGGAAGATGACGATTTAATAGGTTTACCACCAAACGTAAAAACCCAGAAATGGTTTCCACAAATGGATCTTTTAGGTAAGCAAAAATTTATGATATCGGATATTTGCTATTTTCAATAAGCACTTTATTTTATATATAACATTATATATAAACATATAACAAAATATATAAAAACATTTAATTTAAAACTTGTTAAAAGTGACGTCCAAAATTAATAGATACAAAACGTTTTTAATCTAGATCAGATTATCATCAGTGTCTTCTTTTGGTAGATAACACTAAAATTGCAGTGGAGACATCAATATATGGTTTTACATATTCAAATTTAAATCATAACGCGATCCTAGGTCGATGACAACATGTTTCTTTGCTTGACTTGAACACGTGGTTCTTGTCAGTTAAAACGACACAGACCAACTGGTTGAGGTGATACGAAGTAAAATTCAGGGAAAACAGCATTAACATGACGAGGTAGCCATGTCAAATATAAAATTTTTGTAATAGTACCTAATATATTATTAGTAAAAGCCGTTATGTGAAATTAAATCTATTTAAATAATAGTAGTTATTGTTTTAAATCTAAAAATATCTATTATTGAAGAAACAAGTAAGTCAGTAAATTAGTGAAAATAATATTTGAGGTTGAATCTATGACATAAGTAGTATTAAAATTGATTCAGGTAAAAAATGAAAAAAAGGAATGTTATACTGTACCTACACATAATAAAAGTGTAAGAAAAGATATAAAAAGTAATTTATAATAAAAGATTAAGCTGAAATCCAATATAATTGAAGGTAAAAATTGATTGGGTATTGGTGGTTGCCTAATGACGGCAAGAGAACCTGGTGTGTAAACATCTGTGTGTGTGTAATTTTAGAAAATTAAATTGTAAAATGAATTTGTGATGATTATGATAACAGGATATATGGAGTTCTAGCTATTATTATATTGCAATATTTGTTAGTATCAACGTAGTATTACCTTGTAGTGAGGTATATTTAAATGAATATAAATGAAGCTGTGCTAAAATAAATGATAATTATCAATATTAGAAAGGAGGAAATGTGAAATGTTGGTTGAATAACATGAGACGGCTAAAATGAATTGAATACTGTGTTCTTGTGAGCGGCATTACCAAAGTTAAAATATATTATATTATAATGTAGAAAGGATGTCTTCAATTTCTTAAGATATAAAAATAAAACACAAACATGGTTCACGCAACTTTATTCCGACCTCATGTCTTACAATCTTCTTGTCGTCTATCAACTGTCAGCTGTCATTACACCTTGACAGAACATCAAATTTTAAATTAAAAAAAGGCGGTAACAATAAGAAGCCTACAGGTCGGCCAACCGACAACAAGAGCGTCCTCGCTCTTCCATATACAAAAATAAACTATTTGGAAGTACACAAAAACATAACAAAATCATAATATTCATAAATATTTGCTATAACATATCATTTGTCATAAACTGTCATTGAAAGTACATAAACATGACAAAATCATAACAATCATAAATATTTGTCATAAACATACGTTATCATATAAACACCTTTCAGGAATTATTCCTCATAAACGTAATTCATCATAAGTATAAGTTCTTAATTATAGACATAATGGGTAATAATAGATATTAATTGTTTTGCGCAAATATAAGCTGTAGTTGCTAAACATAAAGTAAGTAATTCAGTATGAACAAAAATGTGACTAAAATAAGAACCATAATATCAAAGCTTAAAATACTTAAATAAAATCTTAAGTTCTATATGGATAAAATCCATAACTATTAAGTCGTAGAGGAAGACTTGGTTTAGTTTGATGATTTCATCCATAATCTGAGACGATCAGCGTCAAATACACCTTCGAATGGTTTCTGAGTCATCTGAAACCCCTCAACATCAGAAATTAGATATCTGTCATTAGGTTATATTTTCTTAATAATATAAGGTAATATTTTCTTAATAAATTTAGATAATAGTTTCTTATTTACACCAGGTGTAACATCAATGTTAGGTGTCATGACATAATCACCAATATTATAAATTGAAACTTGTTTATGTCTTGAATCGTAATACAGCTTGTTGACTTCTTGGGATTCCTCTATCTTGTCACATGCATTGTGTCGTAATTCGTTAATATCAGACTTATGTTTGTTAATGGATGACAGAAAATACTTTAAATTATCTTTGACATTACCTACTTGGTTCATTCCAAATAATAGGTTAGAAGGTGTCTGACCTGTAGTTCGATTAACAGTGTTGTTGACAGCAAATTCAACTTCATTAAGTACTTGATCCCAACATTCTGGACCCTTGGTTAGTCTTGCTATCATTGGTATAATGAACCGGTTGAACCTTTCAATTTGTCCATTGGCTCTTGGTAAGCCAGTAGCTACAAGAACATGCTGTATTCCATTATCTTTTAAAATTTAGTGAATTGTTTGGATGTAAAAGCTGAGCCTCGATCAGTGACTATTTTTAAAGGTTTACTGTAAGTAAAGAAGTATGAGTTTAAATACTTAATAACCTCATTACAATTAGTTGACTTGCAAGCATATAATTTCAAGAATTTGGTAAAGCCATCTACAATTGCAAAAATATACTTATAACCAGTTCCTCTAGATTTTTCAAGTGGTCCACAATGATCCAAATGTAAAATATTAAATGGTTTGTCTCGATTAGGTAACCAGTAACATTCTTTTATGGCTTCACAACATTTATCTAATCCCACATGTCCTAATTCATCATGGCAACTCCTAATCATATTTTTTTCCATTGATTCAGGTACATAAAATAGTAGTAAATTATTACATTTTCTATAAAGTATGTCATCGTTCATCTCAAACAACTTATGCTCACTGGATTGTAACGTCTCCTTTAAGTTACATATAATATCATCTTGCCCTTGTTTAATAGCTAAATTATGTTCAAAAGTGTTTTCCTTGATTATTAAAATACTTCCAAAGCACCTACTTAAAGCATCGACATGCTTCATGCTTGTTCCACTTCTGTGTTCTATAATATAATCAAAATTATCAAGAATGAGACTCCATCTCATAATTTTAGGGCTAACATCTTTCTTCTGTAAAGCTGTTGTTACACTATTACAATCTGTCAGTATCTTATATTTAATTCCATATAAGTATACTCTAAATCGGTTAAGTGTGTTGATAACGGCTTTTAGTTCAAAAATAAAACTATGCTGTTTAGATTCTGCTTGCGTAGTTCTCTGACTGTAAAAGAACACTGGATGAAATTTTTGGTCTGCTTGTTTTTGGAGTAATATCCCACCATAACCACTAGAGCTTGCATCACAATGGATTTGGGTTTCAGCTGTAGGAGAATAAAGAGCTAAAACAGGTTTGGACATTAAAATTTGTTTTAAACTATGAAAACTTTTCATTTGTTCTCTTCCAAATTCAAATTAAACATTCTTTTTTAATAGATCATAAAGTGGTCCAGCAATTATTGAAAAGTTGGGAACAAATTTTCTAAAATATGAAGTAAGGCCTATGAAACTGTGTAACTGTTTAAGATTTCATGGTACAGGGTACTCTTTAATTGCACTAATATGTCTATCACTTGGCCTTATCTCATCACACATTTTTATGTAGCCTAAATGATTTATTTCAGTCATTAAAAAGGAGCATTTGTCAAGACGGAAATTCAATTTGTTTTGAACAAATAAGCAAAATATCTCTTTTAGAATATCTAAGTTCTCTTCAACAGTTTTTGTTGCTACTAATAAATCATCAATATAAATTAGTAATTTGTTATGTTCCATTAAGTCCTTGAATATAGTATGAATGTATCGCATAAAAACAGATGGTGAATTGCGCAAACCAATGACATTTTCAAAAATTCATATTGAGCACTGGGAGTTACAAATGATGTGTATTTAATTGAAGATTCTTCTACATTAACGTGATAAAAAGCACTTTTGAGATCCAAAGTTGAAAAATAATGTTTATATTTAAGTTGACAAAGTTGATCTTCAATCAGCGGAATTGGAAAATTATCCCGTAAAGTGATCTTGTTTAATGAACGATAGTCTACACATAGTCTGAAGTCATTAGTTTTCTTTTTAATTAAAACTATTGGTGATCTATACTCTAAATAATTACTCTTACGAACAATATCCTAATGCAGGCCATTCACGTTCCGACTTGTGGTACGACTAGTGGTCCAACTTTTGCAGTTGGATCTGAAATCGGACCGTGAGTGGGCTAGTTGGATTAGTTGGACAACTAGTGGTACGACTAGTGGGACGACTTGAAGATCCGACTTCCGACTGGCGACAAAGTCGGAGCGTGAATGGTGAAGTTGGAAGTCGGATCACAGGTTGGATCGAAAATTTCCTCAGTCAGTTGACCTTCGGCACCTGTTACGTATGAGATTTCTATGAAATACTTTACGCAAAGATCTCTAGTTCGCGAATATTTAATAGAAAATAAACTTTCAATTGCACGAAAATTATCTTTTTGTTAGGGCAAATCATTTTTCTTTCTGTAGATCTATTTCGGACATTCCCATACAGGTAAATTTCCGATACTCCGGATTGGCTACGGAAGAATTATCAACAAACAATGAAAGTTAAATTATAGTTGTAGCAAAAGATCCCTAGTTCGCAAAAAAATAATAGAAAATAACTTTCTATTGCACGAAAAATTATTCCTATTAAAAATATACGACACACACACAACAAAATAAATCCCAGCTCCAGTTTAAACAAATAAAATATAGATTTTATTTGTTCTTTAGATCTTAAAAAGTCACAAAATTCAAGAGTTCAGCCCTAGACAAATAACTAGAGAAACGAAACCTAATTTTTAAACATACATATCATAATATATATTATATTTTGCGTAGTGTTTATTCGATACATATTTTGGTTAAGCGATGTACACCATCGTTTAAACAACCTAGAACTGAAGTTGGACCGCTAGTTGGATAGAAAGTCGGAGCGTGAGTGGAGGCGAACATCCAACTAGTAGTCCTACTAAGTGGTACCACAAGTCGGAACGTGAATGGCCTGTCTTATCTAACAAGTCATTAATTATTTCTTGTACAG